TATGAAATAATTACTAATAGTCCCAAGAAATGAGATAGCCAGTAACGCTATAATAATGGGGAACTTCGGTACTCCACTGACAGCACTAGACAGGTCACCAATACAGAAAGTCAACAAAGGAACAACAGATTTAAACTATACCATGGAACAAATGGACGTAACAGATATATACAATACATTTCATCCAACAACTGCAGAACATACCTTCTACTCAATACCATATAAAACTTCCTCCAAGATTGATCATATAATAGGCCATAAAATGAGCCTCAATAAATTTTTTTTTTTTTTTGAGACGGAGTTTCGCTCTTGTTACCCAGGCTGGAGTGCAATGGCACGATCTCGGCTCACCGCAACCTCCGCCTCCTGGGTTCAGGCAATTCTCCTTCCTCAGCCTCCTGAATAGCTGGGATTACAGGCATGCACCACCGTGCCCAGCTAATTTTTTTTTTTTTTTTTTTTGTATTTTTAGTAGAGACGGGGTTTCACCATGTTGACAACGATGGCCTCCATCTCTTGACCTTGTGATCCACCCGTCTCGGCCTCCCAAAGTGCTGGGATTATAGGCGTGAGCCACCGCGCCCGGCCAGAGCCTCAATAAATTTAAGAAAATTGAAATTATATCAAGCACTCTCTCAGACCACAATGAAATAAAACTGAACTCCCAAAGGAACCTTCAAAACCAGGCAAATACATGGAAATTGAACAACCTGCTCCTGAATGAGCATTGGGTCAAAAACAAAATCAACATGAAATTTATAAATTCTTCAAATTGAATAACCCTAATGGCACAACCTATTAAAACCTCTGCAATACAGCTAAGGTGGTGCTAAAAGTTCATAGCTCTAAATGCCTACATCAAAGGGTGTGAAAGAGAACAAACAGAAAATCTAAGATCACACCTCAAGGAACCAAAGAAACAAGAACAAACCAAAACCCAAACACAGCAGAAAAACAGGAAATAATTAAGGTCAGAGCAGAGCTAAATGAAATTCAAACAAAAAATAACTAAATAAATCAAAAAGCTGCTTCTTTGAAAATTTAAATAAAATCGACTGACAATTAGCAAGATTAGGCAAGAGAAGAGAGAAAATCCTTATAACCTCACTGAGAAATGAAGCGGGAGATACTTAACTGAAACAACTGAAATGCAAAAAAATCACTCAAGGCTACCATAAACACCTTTACACATATAAACTAGAAAACCTCAAAATGATGGATAAATTCCTGAAAAAATACAATCCTTCTAGCTTAAATTGGGAAGAATTAGATAGCATGGACAGAACAAAAACAAATAATGAGATTAAAATGGTGATTTAAAAATTATCAGCCGGGCGCGGTGGCTCAAGCCTGTAATCCCAGCACTTTGGGAGGCTGAGGCGGGTGGATCACGAGGTCGAGAGATCGAGACCATCCTGGTCAACATGGTGAAACCCCGTCTCTACTAAAAATACAAAAACTAGCTGGGCGTGGTGGCACATGCCTGTAATCCCAGCTACTTAGGAGGCTGAGGCAGGAGAATGGCCTGAGCCCAGTAGGCGGAGGTTGCGGTGAGCCCAGACCGTGCCATTGCACTCCAGCCTGGGTAACAAGAGCGAAACTCCGTCTCAAAAAAAAAAAAAAAAAAAAAAAAAAAAATTATCAACAAGTCCAGAACCAGAAAGATTCACAGAATTTTACCAGACATTCAAAGAATTGATATCAATGTTTTTGACACTATTCCAGAAGAAAGATAAAGAATGAACCCTCCCTTGTGTCTAGAAAAAGACATAAGCAGGCCGGGCACGGTGGCTCAAGCCTGTAATCCCAGCACTTTCGGAGGCCGAGGCGGGTGGATCACGAGGTCAAGAGATCGAGACCGCCCTGGTCAACATGGTGAAACCCCGTCTCTACTAAAAATACAAAAAATTAGCTGGGCATGGTGGTGCGTGCCTCTAATCCCAGCTACTCAGGAGGCTGAGGCAGAAGAATTGCCTGAACCCAGGAGGCAGAGGTTGCGGTGAGCCGAGATCGCGCCATTGCACTCCAGCCTGGGTAACAAGAGCGAAACTCCACCTCAAAAAAAAAAAAAAAAGGAAAACTGTGTAGAGATTTCTTAAAGAACTAAAAGTACAACTACCATTTGATATAGCAATCCCACTACTGGGTATCTAGCCAGAGAAAACGAAGTTATTATCTGAAAGAAATACTTGCACATACATGTTTCCCTCTCTCCCTCCCTCCCTCCTATCCTTCCTTTTTTGGAGACAAAGTTTTGCTCTTGTTTCCCAAGCTGGAGTGCAACCGCACAGTCTCATCTCACTGCAACTCCACCTCCTGTGTTCAAACAATTCTCCTGCCTCAGCTTCTCGAGCAGCTAGGATTACAGGTGCTACAAACACTACAGGTGCATGCCACCACACCTGGCTAATTTTTTGTATATTTAGTAGAAACAGGGTTTCACCAGGCCAGCCAAGCTCATCTCAAACTCCTGACCTCAGGTGATCTGCCCGCGTCAGCCAACCAAAGTGCTGGGATTATAGGCGTGAGCCACCGCACCCTGCGTACATGCATGTTTCTAGAAGCACAATTTACAATTGCAAAATCATGGAACCAACCAAAGTGCCCATTAATCAACAAGCGGATAAAGGAACTGTGGTACATACGTACGCTGGAATACTAAGCCATAAAAAGGAATGAATTAACAGCATTTGCAATGTCGTGGATGACACTGGAGACTATTATTCTAAGTGAAGTAACTCAGGAATGGAAAAGCAAACATCGTTTGAGGGCACAAAGGCAGAATAATAATACAATGGACTTCAGGGACGTGGGGAAGAGTGGAAGAGGGGAGGAATAAAAGACAACATATATGGTGCAGTGTATACTGCTTGGGTGATGGGTGTACCAGGATCTCAGAAGTCACCACTAAAAACCTTATGCAACTAACCAAATACCACCTGTACCCCAATAACTTATAAAACAATAAAATTTTAAAAATATGTATTCTCACACAAACACAATTACTCCATTATTTATTTACAACTAAGGTTTATCTGTAGACTAAGAGATGTGTATATTTAACTCTATGTAAATCAATACTAAGAGTCCATATGTGCTTGCAGGCAGAGGTCACATGTTCAAAGAAAAAATATATTAAAACTTATAAAAATATTCAGGACTCAGAAATGTATGGATTTTACTTATATTTGTAAATAATTCTTAGCATATAATTTTTATTGTGGCCATATAAATGACCCTGGAGTCAATAACAATTTAATTGTACATTTAAAAACAACTAAAACTGTAGAACTAAATTGCCTGTAATACAAAGAATAAATGCTAGAGGTAATGGATACTTCATTTCCTCTAAAGTGATTATTATATATTGTATGCCTGTGTCAAAATATGCCATATGTGGCATATATACACATATTTTGTATCCAGAAAAATAATGAACAATAAATTTAAATGTGAAAATAGGAATAAAATTTTAACCTATAGGAACAATATTTTTTAACTTATTGGCAATTTAAAGCTACCAGCAAAAAACATTACTAGAGATGTTAGTCCATTACCTTACCAAAGAGTGTATTCTTACCATCTTTTACTTACACCCTTGAGTAATGTGTAATAGGTTAAAGCTAGTGGCATAATAACCATTTATTGAATTTACAATCATATTTAACCTGTTAAAATGTTGAATTGAAAAGTTAAGTTCATACATAACTTATAATTTTAAAATATGCTGCATATTATTCCATAAAAGCACAATTAATAAAATAACATACTACTAAATTTGAAGTAAAATTAAGAATATTTCTCTTTCATAATAATGCAGAAGAATATTACTTTGAACACCTACCTCTTGCATCACTCAATATTATAGTTAACTACAGAGAGCCTCTCTACTTAAATTTTCATCATGCATCTTATATTTTAATGTCCTTACCTTCCCGCAAAAAAAGATCATAAATAATGCCTAATAAAAAAGAATGTCTCATATCTTTTATGCAGCAACAAGTAGTCACAGGCTTTCACATGTGAATACACCAGGAATGATAAAACAGCCTGAAGTAATTTCAGAGTTTAACACCATTATTATTCACTTTCAAAAAAATCTGTATTTTCAAAAGTATACTTTGAATGTAATTACAATGCTCCAAAAATATTCTAATTCTTTTAAAGTAGTATGGGTGCGGTGGCTCAAGCCTGTAATCCCAGCACTTTGGGAGGCCGAGACAGGTGGAACACGAGGTCAAGAGATCGAGACCATCCAGGTCAACATGGTGAAACCCCGTCTCTACTAAAAATACAAAAATTAGCTGGGTATGGTGGCGCACACCTGTAGTCCCAGCTACTCGGGAGGCTGAGGCAGGAGAATTGCCTGAACCCAGGAGGTAGAGGTTGCGGTGAACTGAGATTGCGCCATTGCACTCCAGCCTGGGTAATAAAGAGCGAGACTCCATCTCAAAAAAAAAAAAGGAAAACTAATTCTTTTAAAGATATATACGAATAATGCTTACACAACTTTAGTTTGTATTTTCTATACTGAGCACTCTGATTTCATGTAATGACTAATTTTAGAGTGCCTTAGATATTTCTAACTGAATTATTCCCTGATACTTACTTAATTTTGAATTGAATAACTTTTATATTTACTGCAACTGAAAATATATTTGATTTTCTTTATGTTTAGAATGGTTTGAGGTATTGTAAAAAGCATTAGCACATCTTTCAGGTTTGTAGAGTTTCTAGCCAGCATGAATGTTACGCCTACTAAGAATTTAAGACTTTTTATAGGCTTTGCCACATTATTCACACTTGTAAGATTTCTCTCCAATATGAGTTATCTTATCTGAAGTAAGGTGTAAGGACTTGTTAAAGGCTTTGCCAAATTTTTCCCATTTGTAGGTTTGCTCTCCTGTATGAATTCTCTTATGTTTAGTTAGGGTTGAGGACCAGAAAAAGGCTTTGTCACATTCTTCACATTTGTAGGGTTTTACTCCAGTATGAATTACCTTATGTTTAGTAAAGGTTGAAGACCGGTTAAAAGACTTGCCACATTCTTCACATTTGTAGGGCTTCTCTCCAGTATGAATTCTCCTATGGTTAGTAAGGATTGAAGACTGGTTAAAGGCTTTGCCACATTTTTTACATTTGTAGGGTTTCTCTTCTGTATGAATTATCTTATGTTTAGTAAGAGTTGAGGACCAGTTAAAGGCTTTTCCACATTCCTCACATTTGTAAGGTTTTTCTCCAGTATGAATTATTTTATGTGTAGTAAGAGTTGAGGATTGGCTAAAAGCTTTGCCACATTCTTCACATCTGTAGGGTTTCTCTCCAGTGTGCATCCTCTTATGTCTAGTTAGGGTTGAGGACCATAGAAATGCTTTGCCACATACTTCACATTTGTAGGGTTTCTCTTTAGTATGAATTCTTTTATGTTTAGTAAGAGTTGAGGACCAGATAAATGCTTTGCCACATTCTTCACATTTGTAAGGTCTCTCTCCAGTATGAATTACCTTATGTGTAGTAAGATTTGAGGATCGGTTAAAAGCTTTGCCACATTCTTCACATTTGTAGAGTTTCTCTCCAGCATGAATAATTTTATGTGTAGTAAGGGTTGAGAGTTGCTTAAAAGCTTTGCCACATTCTTCACATTTGTAGGGTTTCTCGCCAGTATGAATTATCTTATGTGTATTAAGGGTTGAGGATTGGCTAAAAGCTTTGCCACATGCTTCACATTTGAAGGGTTTCTCTCCAGTGTGAATCCTCTTGTGTCTAGACAAGGTAGAGGACCATATAAATGCTTTGTTACATTCTTTACATTTGTAGAGTTTCTCTCTAGTATGAAGTCTGTTGTGTTTAATAAGGGTTGAGAACCAGATAAATGCTTTGCCACATTCTTCACACTTATAAGGTTTCTCTCCACTATGAGTTATCCTATGAGTTGTAAAATTTGAGGCTCGATGAAAATCTTTGCCACAGTCTTCACATTTGTAGAGTTTCTCTCTAGCATGACTTATTTTATGTGTAGGAAGTGTTGAGACTTGCTTAAAAGCTTTGCCAAAGTCTTCGCATTTGTAGGGTATCTCTTCAGTTTGAATTTTTTTATTATTAGGAAGGGTTGAGGACCAATTAAAGGTTTTCCCACATTCTTTACATTTGTAGGACTTCTTTCGTGTATAGTTGCTTTTATGCTGGGTTTTGTGTGAAATCATGCAAAATGATTTGACACATTTTTTACATTTGAAAGATTTTTTTCCAGTATGTCTTACCTTATGTCTGTTTGAATTTAAAAATGTATTAAAAACTTTCAGATATTTACTACATTGAAATACCTTGCTCTGGGTAGTTGTGAAATACTGGGTAGGTCCATTATATCCTTCTTTGTGTACCTTACACTCATCCACACATTTACAGCCTTTTTTAAACTGTAAATTCTCATGTCCACATTTTTCATATCTTCTCAGTATTACTTTTTGAAAAGAATCTTCCATGCCCTGCTCTGGCCAAAGGTCTTGAGCAAAATGAGGACATACAACTGAAAAACAAATAAAAATAAATAAATTACTCCACTTGTTAGAGTCACATGGATATAGTTTAAAAATCTTACCTATAACATTATACAAACTACATAATCAAAATGGCATTGCAAAATACCACAGGCCCTAATTCTTTAATAGACGTGTAAGTGTAACAACATACAGACCCAAATACATCTATGGAAAATTTATAAATGAATTAATTGTGTGTAGCGTCCCAGGTGAGCACAACGCAAAAAAAACACATAAAAGAAAAATAAGGCCGGGCGCGGTGGCTCAAGCCTGTAATCCCAGCACTTTGGGAGGCCGAGGCGGGTGGATCACGAGGTCAAGAGATCGAGACCAGCCTGGTTAACATGGTGAAACCCCGTCTCTACTAAAAATACAAAAAATTAGCTGGGCATGGTGGCGCGTGCCTGTAATCCCAGCTACTCAGGAGGCTGAGGCAGGAGAATTGCCTGAACCCAGGAGGCGGAGGTTGCTGTGAGCCGAGATCGTGCCATTGCACTCCAGCCTGGGTTAACAAGAGCAAAACTCCGTCTCAAAAAAAAAATAAAATAAGGCCGGGCGCGGTGGCTCAAGCCTGTAATCCCAGCACTTTGGGAGGCCGAGGCGGGTGGATCACGAGGTCGAGACATCGAGACCATCCTGGTCAACATGGTGAAACCCCGTCTCTACTAAAAATACAAAAAATTAGCTGGGCATGGTGGCACGTGCCTGTAATCTCAGCTACTCAGGAGGCTGAGGCAGGAGAATTGCCTGAACCCAGGAGGCGGAGGTTGCGGTGAGCCGAGATCGTGCCATTGCACTCCAGCCTGGGTAACAAGAGCGAAACTCCGTCTCAAAAAAAAAAATAAAAAATAAAAAAAATAAAAAAATAAAATAAAATAAAATAAAATAAAAAATAAAATAAAATAAAATAAAATAAAATAAAAAAATAAAATAAAAGCCTGTTAAATTCATCTAACACAGCTTTTCCTGCTTCCCACTATAACATAGTACCTTTAGAAGTAAATTGCCAGCTCTTGGTTTCTGTTTTTTTTTTTTTTTTTTTTTTTTTTTTTTTAGATGGAGTTTCGCTCTTGTTACCCAGGCTGGAGTGCAATGGCGCGATCTCGGCTCACCGCAACCTCCGCCTCCTGGTTCAAGCAATTCTCCTGCCTCAGTCTCCTGAGTAGCTGGGACTATAGGCATGCGCCACCATGCCCAGCTAATTTTTGTATTTTTAGTAGAGACGGAGTTTCACCATGTTGACCGGGATGGTCTCGATCTCTTGACCTCGTGATCCACCCGCCTCGGCCTCCCAAAGTGCTGGGATTACAGGCGTGAGCCACCGCGCCCGGCCTTTGATAGTACTCTTAATGGTATAACTTCTCCTCTCCTTTTATGTCTCTCTTTGTTTTTTCTTGTTTCCTTTTTGGAAAAAAAAAATGTGGCACATCTACGCCATGGAATACCATTCAGCCACAGAAAGTGATTAGTTTGTGTCCTTTGTAGGGACATAGATGAACCTGAAAACCATCATTCTCAGCAAACTGACACAAGAACAGAAAATCAAACACCGCCTGTTCTTACTCATAGGCAAGAGTTGAACAATGGGAACACATGGATACAGGGAAGGGAGCATCACACACTGGGGTCTGTTGGTGCGGAAGAGGGGAGGGACAGCAGGGAATAGGGAGGTTGGGGAGGAATAACATGGGGAGAAATGCCAGATATAGGTGATGGAGGGATAGAGGCCGCAAACCACCTTGCCATGTGTATACCTATTCAACAATCCTGCATGTTCTGCACATGTAACCCAGAACCTAAAGTGCAATAAAAAATACATAAATATAAAATAAAAATAAAAAATATGTATATGTATAAGTATTTTTTTAAAGTGTAAATTTTTATGTTTTAAATATATGCATTTTTCACAAACTAAAACTACTGTAATCCAAGTTTAGAAGCAAAAAATAGCCTTACATTGCTAAATTATGTATATATTTAACAGAGCCTCATATATAAAACAAATATTTTGGAAATAAATTATGTTTTTATTTAGATATAGGCTGACAAAAATGGTTAAAAATTCTCTAATTCCTTTTTGCCTTCCTGCAAACTATTTAATTCAGGTAAAACACGTAAATTTTAGTATATTGCCCTAAATGGCTGAATCTAGAATTACAGACGAATTTGAAGTAAAAAATAGAAAGTAAACATTTATGTGGAGAGTGACATTAATAATTTTTTTTTTTAAAAAGGGTTCCCTATTTGCTTATCCCCTGACAGCAAGAAAATCTGTCAGCCATTCCTGACAAAAATGCCTTTATGAAAGAAGCAGGCATCATGGATCCCACCTGAAATGACAGCTACATGGTACGATAAAGTTGGAGAATTGCTTCTGGTAAAAATATTAAGACCTGCCTGGGTAACGTAACAAGGCCCCGTCTCAAAAATAAATGCCTTAAAGAGAGCTCTGAGATCCAGGAAAGGAGGTGTGAAACTCTGCTAAGGCCCAAGATTGAAGGCAATCTTTTTTTTTTTTTTTTTTTTAAGATGGAGTTTCGCTCTTGTTACCCAGGCTGGAGTGCAATGGCGTGATCTCGGCTCACTGCAACGTCCGCCTCCTGGGTTCGGGCAATTCTCCTGCCTCAGCCTCCTGAGTAGCTGGGATTACAGGCACGCGCAACCACGCCCAGCTAGTTTTTTGTATTTTTAGTAGAGACGGGGTTTCACCATGTTGACCAGAATGGTCTTGATCTCTCGACCTCGTGATCCACCCGCCTCGGCCTCCCAAAGTGCTGGGATTACAGGCTTGAGCCACCGCGCCCAGCCAGCAATATCTTTTCTTTTCTTTTTTTTTTTTTTTTTTTGAGACGGAGTTTCGCTCTTGTTACCCAGGCTGGAGTGCAATGGCGCAATCTCGCCTCACCGCAACCTCCGCCTCCTGGGCTCAGGCAATTCTCCTGTCTCAGCCTCCTGGGTAGCTGGGATTACAGGCATGTGCCACCATGCCCAGCTAATTTTTTTTGGATTTTTAGTAGAGACGGGGTTTCACCATGTTGACCAGGATGGTCTCGATCTCTCGACCTCGTGATCCACCCGCCTCAGCCTCCCAAAGTACTGGGATTACAGGCTTGAGCCACCGCGCCCGGCCTTTTTTTTTTTTTTTTTTTTTTTGAGACAGAGTTTCGCTCTTGTTACCCAGGCTGGAGTGCAATGGCACGATCTCGGCTCACCGCAACCTCCGCCTCCTGGGTTCAGGCAATTCTCCTGCCTCAGCCTCCTGAGTAGCTGGGATTACAGGCACGCGTCACCATGCCCAGCTAATTTTTCGTATTTTTTTTAGTAGAGACGGGGTTTCACCATGTTGACCAGGATGGTCTCGATTTCTTGACCTCGTGATCCACCCTCCTCGGCCTCCCAAAGTGCTGGGATTACAGGCTTGAGCCACCGCGCCCGGCCATGGCAATCTTTTTTAGAAGGAAGGCACTCATTCAAGTGGCAAACTACTAGACTACCGTTTTTGGCTACAGATAAGAAAATGTTCCACCTAACTTGATTCCATTGAGATTTTTGAAGTTAATCTAGAACTATCCCTAACTTTTCCCAGCCAGAGTCTATGAGGGAGGTCCTGTTCTTTCAGAGGCCGGGATGAAGTCCCCCATTTTATAGCCATCCAGCAGGCCTGCAGACCATGACTTTTACTGTGATCCCTGAAGCAGTTCCATGACTCAGTTCATGACCAGTTCTGCCTACGTACAAACTCAGAGTGACCTGGGAAAAACCCTTTTTGCACTCAGTGAAAGCCACGCTCATCTACATGTTGATATAAAGCCCACCATATGCAGACCTGACTGCAGAAACCTGCCCTTGAATCTACCCTGCAGAGGAACGTCCTGAAGAATATTCACTCTGTCCAAAAGTTAAATAAGAATTACAACTATCCAAGCCGCTTTTAACAAGACAGCTAACAGTGGACCTGTGTGCAAACCCAGCAGCCTTAAGACCAAGCTACAACCCCTCTTCCCTACAAACCCAGAGGGCATTCTCATGTGGCAGACCCAACGAAAATATATTTTTACTTTCTCAAATCAGTTTATAAAAACTTGGAGAGCTGTTTGCTCATTCAAATTTACAGATACCAATGCAAAACTATTATTTCTTATTGTCAATGCTTCTATTTTAACATAGCACTGAAAGTATGTGGAAGAAGAAAAAGTCAAAAGAAAAATTTAAAGGCATTGATATCAAAGACGCATAAGTATAGGTATTGATCGACTTACAACCTATGCAACTTACAACCATTCGACTTTACAACCACAATCGCTAGCCACAACGGGTCCGCATCTGGCAGCGCAAACGTTACCCAGCTGGGCGAACGACAGTGCGGATCAGCTTCCGGCAGCACTACCCTCTCCGCGTGCACCATTTCAACTGCTATCCCAGACTTCGGTACAGCAAACTCAACTTATGACCAAATCGTGTTATGACCGGTCTGTCAGAACCAATTGTGGCTGTAAGTCGAGCGCTAGCTGTAAAACGTTGCTGTTTGTAGATCATGTAATCTTATATATTAAAAAACATAAATACTACATTAAAACCTGTGTAAACTAATGAATACACTCAATTAGCAAAATATAAAGTAACATGTAAGTTATGGTTCCATATACTAAAACAAACTATTTGATAAAGAAAAAATATCTAATTTACAATAGCAGTACAATAATCAATTTTAGAACAAATTTAACCAAGGAACTTATAAATCTTTTAAATGAAAACTATATCAATGGAAAAAATTAGAGAGGGCAAAAATAAATTTTAAAATATGTTATTTCTATTGAAAGAGTAAGTATTGTGAAACTGCCATAATATGCAAAGTGATCTATAGATTCAATAGGCTCCTTATCAAAATTCCAGTATTTTTCCACAGTAATAAAAAATAGAATCCTAAAATGTGCATAAAATTACAGTAAACTTTGAATAGCCAACGCAATCTTGAGGAAAAAGAACAAAGCAGAGTGACATCATACTTTATAATTTTAAACAAAATTTCAAGACTATAGTAGTGAAAATAGGACAAAATGTGCAGAAAATATTTTCAAAAATCAATGGAACAGAAACCACTACTCTTATGCATTTCAGTCATGATGCAAAAAGAGATCTTAAAAAATAGGTTAGGCTGGGCACGATGGCTCAAGCCTATAATCCCAGCGCTTTGGGAGGCTGAGGTGGGTGGATCACGAGGTCAAGAGATCGAGACCATCCTGGGTAACATGGTGAAACCCCGTCTCTACTAAAAAATACAAAAAATTAGTTGGGCATGGTGGCACATGCCTGTAATCCCAGCTACTCAGGAGGCCGAGGCAGGAGAACTGCCTGAACCCAGGAGGCGAAGGTTGCGGTGAGCCAAGATTGGGCCATTGCACTCCAGCCTGTGTAACAAGAGCGAAACTCCATCTGAAAAAAAAAAAAAAAAAAAAAAAAAAAAAATAGGTTAACTCCAGGTGCAGTGGCTGACACCTGTAATCCCAGCACTTTGGCACTTTGGGAGGCCGAGATGGGTGGATCATGAGGTCAGGAAATTGAGACCATCCTGGCCAACACAGTGAAACCCCATCTCAAAAAAAAAAAAAAAAAATAGGTTAACATACAGTATATCAAAATTATGCAGATACCTGTCTCTCCACAAAAACAAGAAAAAATAAGTCAGATTTTACACTCTATTGTATGCCATGAACAGTACTTTGGCTGTCACTGTAAACTGGAAGGAAGATCATTTAAGGAAAAGTGGAACTCTCAGATATTTTATAAGCATAAGACAGAAGATGCCCTTAGGTGAGAGTATAATTTTTTTTTTTAATTACAGGCTTCTCAGAAACTATTTCCTTTGGATAACAGCTTCCCAAATCACTTTAAAGACTGGCTTTCTCCTTGACTTTAGACCTCTCATCCATGTCATCTGTTGTGATCACTCTCACCTACCTGGGGGTTCATCCACCATCGCATGTCGCTTCATCTTCCAGGGCTCTTTTTCCTTCTCCAGACAGGTGATCAGGTCTGGCTTAGAGGCAGCAATACCTGTTTTATTAAAAATAACTAACATGAATCTTGCTCATGTTCTCCAATTACCAACTTAGTAATGTGCTCAATAAAGAGGATACGGCCGGGCGCGGTGGCTCAAGCCTGTAATCCCAGCACTTTGGGAGGCTGAGGCGGGTGGATCACAAGGTCGAGAGATCGAGACCAACCTGGTCAACATGGTGAAACTCTGTCTCTACTAAAAATACAAAAAATTAGCTGGGCATGGTGGCGCGTGCCTGTAATCCCAGCTACTCAGGAGGCTGAGGCAGGAGAATTGCCTGAACCCAGGAGGCGGAGATTGCGGTGAGCCAAGATCGTGCCATTGCACTCCAGCCTGGGTAACAAGAGCGAAACTCCGTCTCAAAAAAATAAATAAATAAATAAAGAGGATATAATATTCTTACCAACTTAGTAATGTGCTCAGTAAAGAGGATATAATATTCCAGTAAATTTATCCCAATATACCAATTTATAACATAAATTTTTTAATATTTATGAAATACTTTAATTTTGTAGATTCTTAATTTCACTGCCTGTTACTACTCAATGAAAAATTCATGATGGCAATTAGATTTTAAGGTGTGAGAAACAATGTTCTATGCCACTAAACTACTGAAATTACCACTAAAGTGAAGGACACAGATCAGCTCAGGAATATGGAAAGTTCGGGTCAAAATAAAATATCTTAAAGAAATTTCCCCAGGATTTTCTTGAAAACAGAAATCTGAAAGCATAAGTAAGCAAAATATATTCTACAAAAAATTAATGAAACCTTTAGTTTATATTGGAATTCCATATTAAAGTTATCCTCACCCAGGAAGGCCAGGTTTCTGTAGTTCTCTAACATCACATTTCTATATAAATTCTGCTGTGCAGTGTCCAGACATTGCCACTCCTCCAGAGAGAATTCTATGGCCACATCCCTAAATGTCAACAGTCCCTAGAAAACACACACAAACACACATATTTTACAAAGTGGGTATGGGCAGAATGTTTCATTTGACTCAAGGTAAAATGAGAAAGTGAGTAGAATTGGTTCTGACTTATAAGAGTGGCTGAAACAATCCAATAAAATAATTGTCAATATACAAGCATTTTGTAACATATTCTCTAACTCTGAGAAGAGAGAGTAGCATAATATCCACAACATCAGCATATATATGATACTTGTCTGGATGATAAAGCGGAAAATAGAGGGCATAAACACTAACGTGCATTTTTGTGTGCTATATTTACATAACACAGAATGAGTTCTGTATATTTTTCAGAAGAAAAAGACATAGTTGTTCATCTTTTTCATACAAGGTAGACATGTTGAGTTAGAAGGTACCATTCAAATTTTAATGTGTACAAAACTGGACATCTTGTAAATGCAGATTATTTTTTTCAGCAGATCTGAAATAAAATCTGAGTTACTGAATTTCTAACAAGCTCACCAGTAATGCCAATGTTCTGGCCCCAAAAAACTATTTTGTCAAACATCCAGTAAGTGAAAGAGCCTGTTTTCTTGTTTGTTTATTTGTTTTCAGTTTTTCTGGCCTGTAAACAAAGAAGAGAGCTTTCATTTACCAAAGAAAGATAAGTGCAAAGAAAACCTAAACACCATCACCAGGCCTGCCCTACAACAGCTCCTTAAGGACATAGAAAGGAACAACTGGTACCAGTCACTGGAAAAACATACCAAATTGTAAAGACCATCAATGAGAGGAAGAAACTACATCAATGGGCAAAATAACCACCATCATAATGGCAGGGTCAAATTCACACATAACAATATTAACCTTAAATGTAAATAGGCTAAATGCCCCAATAAAAAAAAACAGACTGGCAAATTGGATAAAGAGTCAAGACCCATCAGCGTGATATATTCAAGAGACCCATCTAACGTGCAGACACACACAGAGGCTCAAAATAAAGAGATGGAGTAATATTTACCAAGCAAATGGAAAGCAAAAAGAAAGCAGAGGTTACAATTCTAGTCTCTGATAAAACAGACTTTAAACCATCAAAGATCAAAAGAGAAAAAGAAGGGTATTACATAATGGTAAAGGAATCAATGCAACAAGAAGAGCTAACTATCCTGAATATGCACCCAATGCTGGAGCACCCAGATTCATAAAGCAAGTTCTTAGAGACCTACAAAGAGACTTAATATCGAGACATTAACACCCCACTGTCAATATTAGACAGATCAATGAGAAAAAATTAACAAGGATATCCAGGACTTGAACTCAGCTCTGGACCAAGCGAACCTAACAGACATTGACAGAACCCTCCACCCCAAATAAACAGATTATACATTATTCTTGACACCACATTGCACCTATTCTAAAAATGACCACATAATTGGAAGTAAAACACTTCTCAGCAAATGCAAAAGAACAGAATTTATAACAGTCTCTCAGACCACAGTGCAATCAAATTGTAGCTCAGGATTAAGAAACTCACTCAAGGGTTGGCTGCGGTGGCTCAAGCCTGTAATCCCAGCACTTCGGGAGGCCGAGGCGGGTGGATCATGAGGTAAAGAGATCGAGACCATCCTGGTCAACATGGTGAAACCCCATCTCTACTAAAAACACAAAAGATCAGCTGGGCATGGTGGCGCATGCCTGTAATCCCAGCTACTCAGGAGGGTGAGGCAGGAGAATTGCCTGAACCCAGGAGGCGGAGGTTGCAGTGAGCCGAGATCGTGCCATTGCACTCCAGCCTGGTTAACAAGAGTGAAATTCTGTCTCAAAAAAAAAAAAAAAAAAAAAAAAAAAGAATTAAAATGATTAATATATGCCCATAAAGTTTGTAAAAAGCTGGTCTAGCCTCTCTAAAAGTCACCGTAGAGCACTATAGATACTAAACAGGCAGAGACACAATTCTGCCTGCATATTTAGGTGACAGTATGCATTTCCAGTGAGTTGACTGGAAGCCTGAGAGGAAAAGTCCCCTGTAGAATAAAGCTTGGTTGGTACCTTATGTGTTTATATTTGGTCTGGTAATTCTACACAGTGTTTGGGAAATACAATTTTTAAAGAAATTATCTTCAGCTCCAGAGAAACCACAATAATGGAACAGAAAGAAAACTGTTTCATGGCCGGGCGCAGCGGCTCAAGCCTGTAATCCCAGCACTTTGGGAGGCCGAGGCGGGTGGATCACGAGGTCAAGAGATCGAAACCATCCTGGTCAGCGTGGTGAAACCCCGTCTCTACTAAAAATACAAAAAATTAGCTGGGCATGGTGGCACGTGCCTGTAATCCCAGCTACTCAGGAGGCTGAGGCAGGAGAATTACCTGAACCCAGGAGGAGGAGGTTGCGGTGAGCCAAGATCGTGCCATTGCAGTCCAGCCTGGGTAACAAGAGCGAAACTCTGTCTCAAAAAAAAAAAAAAAAAAAACTGTTTCGTTACACAATTAAATCTGAATGTCACACATATTATAGTCAGTCTGCTTAAGAGATTAAAAAGACAGAAAGACAGTTACCATAATTAGTTCACAAGTAGAATTTAAAGCACCATGTCATACATAGTTCATTCTAAATTCACCTGGTCCTTGGGGAGGCCATTCATGTATGCTCACTGGTTATATCAATGACAAAATAAGCTTTTTACATCTTCTGGACGGAAGGCAGTTTTGCAACTTGAAGCCAGGTGCCTGCTTAGGGTAGACTTTCACTCTTCTACAAAAGTGGTTGAACAGAGTGCTATCTTTTTGGCTACTTGTATTTTAAAGCAGTGGCTCTGTACTGCTAGGACTGGGCTAGAGCTCTCCTGCTTCTCCTCTTCTGGTGGTCAGTGTTCTCTTTTGTTTCCTACGATCTGCCACTGAGATACAGCCCACAGCACAAGGTTTACAGGTAGCAGCTCACATCTTAGGTGGACGCCAATCGCCACAGCAGCACTTTAGTGTCACATTAGAGAGTGAAGCCTGAGCTGCAGGAGGAGAGCCTGCAGGACTCCTGGGTAGAACTGCACCCTCATAATAATGGGAATAAGAGCATTACGTAAGCCATGGGTTTCTATTTATAATGGTCACATGGAAGAAATACTACTGGATTTCCAGCATGCATCCAGATAGAGATAACTCCTAGAGTTCTCACTGTGACAGCCTACACTTTTCACAGACTTTATGTGATACTAATAGGGCTTCTAAAACAGATACACAAAGCATTCCAAAGAAAAACAACTCTCACTTCAAGATTATATTGAGAGAAAAAAGAAGTTAAAAGCGTCTTAAGAAGAAAACTGAGATCAGATGTAAGATTTATTAAGTTGGCCAAAAAATATTTCACTAAAAATAATTTCTCTCTAAATGCCCAAAGTGCATAGCTACTCTCAGCATGAGAAACATGAGTACTATGAAGAAAGGGGCATATTTTTTTTCTTTTTTTTTTTTTTTTTTTGAGACGAGTTTCGCTCTTGTTACCCAGGCTGGAGTGCAATGGCACGATCTCGGCTCACTGCAACCTCCGCCTCCTGGGTTCAGGCAATTCTCCTGCCTCAGCCTCCTGAGTAGCTGGGATTACAGGCACGTGCCACCATGCCCAGCTAATTTTTTGTATTTTTAGTAGAGACGGGGTTTCACCATGTTGACCAGGATGGTCTCGATCTCTCGACCTTGTGATCTACCCGCCTCGGCCTCCCAAAGTGCTGGGATTACAAGCTTGAGCCACCGCGCCCGGCCGAAAGGGGGCATATTATTAATAGAATTTTAAAAGATTTTTTTTAAAATCTCTGCTGCTCTCTAATCTTCTAGCCATTGAAAGCAGAATCTATATGGAAATATATCTGACAACTTCCACCAGCACTTTTTGACAAAAAATTAAAATCTTCCTGTGGTAATACAGTGGAATATATGTGAGCCTGCAACATAGCTAACTGGAAGGCTATTAAGGTTTTGGGGCAGCCACATCACCTGCCTTTATCTGTCCTGTAATAACAGCATTCCGCAACAGAGGCTAGCCACATAAGATATATATCTGGACTCTCTTGTATTATAGGATTTTTCTTGTTCTGAATATACTTCACATTTACAGCTGTCAAAAACAAAAACTGGTATTTCAGATGTTTTCTGAAATATTTTTATTTTTTTTATTTTTAATTTTAATTTCATTTTTTGAGACAGAGTTTTCGCTCGATACCCAGGCTGGAGTGCAATGGCACGATCTCGGCTCACCGCAACCTCTACCTCCTGGGTTCAGGCAATTCTCCTGCCTCAGCCTCCTGAGTAGCTGGGATTACAGGCACGCGCCACCATGCCCAGCTATTTTTTTGTATTTTTAATAGAGATAGGGTTTCACCATGTTGACCAGGATGGTCTCGATCTCTTAACCTCGTGATCCACCTGCCTCGGCCTCCCAAAGTGCTGGGATTACAGGCATGAGCCACCGCGCCCGGATCTGAAATCTTTTAAGCTAAAGTCACATGCAAGAATTGACATTGCAGCTACTAATTTTGACATCTTTTAGATCTGTATAAAAGTCCGTTGTGTTGAAGGAGCAAACCAATGAGTGCTGCATTTTGGATATTTAGTTTTATCTTTAAACACCATCCTGGTGTATTCATTTATACCATCTAATATATGACACACTGTTGTAGCATGTATAATTTTGTGATCGTTATTTCCCTTTGTATTCATTTTAAGGATCTAAATAAATTGCTATATTGTGCTTAATGTAAAAAAAAAAAAAAAAAAACAGCATTCCAATTTGTAAAATAAAAGACCCTAGCCGGGCACGGTGGCTCAAGCCTGTAATCCCAGCACTTTCAGAGGCCGAGGCAGGTGGATCACAAGGTCAAGAGATCGAGACCATCCTGGTCAACATGGTGAAACCCCGTCTCTACTAAAAACACAAAAAATTAGCTGGGCATGGTGGCTCGTGCTTGTAATCTCAGCTACTAAGGAGGCTGAGGCAGAATTGCCTGAACCCAGGAGGCGGAGGTTGCGGTGAGCC